CGTTGAGATTCAAAACGATGCAATGCGAATAATAACAGGAGCTCCCAGATGGACTAAAATACTGAACCTAAGACTAGAAACCAAGCTAACGTCGATTGAAATAAGAGTAAAAGGGATCGCTGCGTGCATGCTGACCAAGATATTGATTAGACCTAGAATCAGTTCACTTAAAGATATAATCACTGGAGCACTAACTCTGGACAGAAGAGCCTCCAATAGCAACAGGTGGACCCACGGTGCGATAAACACCATCAATACATTCGATATAACAAACACAGTCACTGAGAAGGGTGTCGACGAAATACATGCAGACTTTGTTATGCAAGCCCCTTGGGAATCTCCGCCAGCAGACTTTAGGATTATGGTTATTGGAGGAAAAAAGAACCAGACAAATCCTCATCTGCTACGTAACATTGCACAGATGCATATAGAAGCAAACATGGCATCCGACAGCTTCACTTACTTCACAGATGGATCAGTAGACCAGCAGGGACAAGAAACCGGAGCTGCAGTTAAAGCAGGAAACTCTGTAAATAGTTGGAGGCTCTCAAATGGGTGTTCGACTTTACAAACAGAGATGCTAGCCATTCAAAAGGCTTTGGAACATGCTCTTGCTCAACACCGACAACATGTTATCATACATACAGATTTGAGAACTGCCATTGAAACCTTGCAACAAGAACACATATGTGATAACATACATCTGATCACAAATGTCATATCATTAATGCAAACACTCAAACGACAAGGCCGACGGGTACTTATCAACTGGGTGCCAAGTCATGTGGGAATAATAGAAAATGACATTGCAGACGAAGCTGCAAAACTTGCAACTAAGAGAAGAAATGTAGACATTTACATACCACAGAGTCTATCACAGATTAAGAAAGTAATTAGAAACAGAGCAATGCAAAAGATGTACAGTGACCACAACACAGCATTTGCATCAACATCAAGATCTGCGGGTTGGTACAAGAATTCAACCAACTACGAACCACTTAGTTTGATGAAAGGGAGCAATAGAGCAACAGAAGTGCACTTACATCGCATCAGGCTTGGATACCCATGTGCATGGGAAATAGGCTTACAGGTTCCGGAAGATGAGAGGAAATGTCAGCACTGTGGAGAAATGCCCGACAGACCACTGGAACATTATCTAACACAGTGCACAGTTACAAACCCATTAAGATTTCAACTTAGATTCAACAGAGCAGAAGTTGTTAAACACATATGGCAAAATCTTACTGAAGCGACCATACGAGTAATAAATACTCATACTCCGCCCAAGTAAAACAGAAACAAGCAACACTTAGTGGGCCAGCCAGAGGCTTAGGGCCCGCGCAGGAATATCCCTGAAAAAAAAAGTCAATTAGGGACCATTAGAACCTGGGAGCTAACGTTAAGGGGAACGCCGGGAACGAACTAAAGCTAAAGCTGAAGCTTTCCCCTGCCAAAAGGGCTAGGATGTCAGCAGCTGGAAACAACGAAACAGCAACAGCTGTAACCCCGACGGCTGGGACAGCGACAGCTATAACAACAGCAGCTGGCACCTCAGCAGCTGCCGAAGATACGAAATTAGCAGCAGCGGGCTAAGGGGAAACTGCAGTAGTAAGGAAAGTACGACTGCAAAACAAATTATGCTCAAAATAATGCTGGAATATAACTCGTTAGAGAAAATGGGATTAATACATGAAGCTGAAAATAATATCCAATCAAATACAATAAACTAAAAAGGAATGGATAATAGGCACAACGTCAGCTGTGACGCTTCAGCTGGAACCCCGCCCGCTGGAACTTCGGGGGCTGGAACGTCAGCAGGTGGAACCTCGAGAGCTGAAACGCAGTAGCATGGACATGAACAGATGGGACAGCATCAACTGGAACATCAGGAACAACTTCAACCGGAGCATGGGAGCTGGTCTAACAACCACTGGAACATCAGCAGCTGGACCGTGTTCCACCTGAACAGCAGCACGCTGGAACACCGACTGCCGGGAACGTCAGCAGCCGGAACACCAACAGCTGCAGCGGCTGGACACCAAAACTGTGCAGCAACATAGTAAGAGAGCGGCGGCTCGGACACTAGGGCAGACAGCTGGACCGGCTGCAACAGCCCCAACCGAACATCAGCAGCTAGAACACAGCAGCAGGGACATCTGAATAACATCGCCGGCTTAACTCATCACAGGAAGAACATCGTTTTAACTCATCACAGGAAGAACGTCTGCTTAACTCGTCACAGGAAGAACGTCAGCTGGACACCAACCCCTGAACGAAGGCAGCTAAGACGGCAGCGGCTATGACAACCTTCCGGGCTACACCGGGCAGACAAAACGTCTGGATAAACCAGCGGCCTATTTGAGGCCGCAGTATCTTCCGGGCTACACCGGGCAGACAACACGTCTGGATAAACCAGCGGCCTTTGAGGCCGCTGTGACTTCCGGGCTACACCGGGCAGACAACACGTCTGGATAACCAGCAGCCTGGGAGGCCACAGTGGCCACATCCGGGCTACACCGGGCAGACAACACGTCTGGATAAACCAGCAGCCGGAAGGCCGCAGATTCTTCCGGGCTACACCGGGCAGACAAAACGTCTGGATAAACCAGCAGCCTGGGAGGCCGCAGTTTCTTTCGCACCCACTGGGAACTGGTGGCCCAGCCAAGGGCGTAGAAACCGAAGTTGGCCTAGGCAAGGGCATAGAACTGAAGGGGCCCCAGCCTGGGGCATAATAAACCGAAATAGCCCCAGCCTGCTGACCATAACGGCAGTGGCTCCGTCCTGGGGCATAAACAACTGAAGTGGCCCTATCCTGGAGCATAATAAACAGAAGTGGCCCCGTCCTGGGTATAGGGCTGAAGTGGCCCCGACCTGGGCCACGGGAAGCTGAAGTGGCCCCGACCTGGGCCACGGGAAGCTGAAGTGGCCCCGACCTGGGCCACGGGAAGCTGAAGTGGCCCCGGCCAGTGGCAGAACTGAAGCGTGGGGCATAAACTGAAGTGGCCCTGCCCTGGGGCCTAAGAAACTGAAGTGGCCCTGCCCTGGGGCCTAAGAAACTGAAGTGGCCCTGCCCTGGGGCCTAAGAAACTGAAGTGGCCCCGTCCTGGGGCATAAGAAACTGAAGTGGCCCCGTCCTGGGGCATAAGAAACTGAAGTGGCCCCGTCCTGGGGCATAAGAAACTGAAGTGGCCCCGTCCTGGGGCATAAGAAACTGAAGTGGCCCCGTCCTGGGGCATAAGAAACTGAAGTGGCCCCGTCCTGGGGCATAAACTGAAGTGGCCCCGTCCTGGGGCATAAGAAACTGAAGTGGCCCCGCCCTGGGGCATAAGAAACTGAAGTGGCCCCGTCCTGGGGCATAAGAAACTGAAGTGGCCCCGTCCTGGGGCATAAGAAACTGAAGTGGCCCCGTCCTGGGGCATAAGAAACTGAAGTGGCCCCGTCCTGGGGCATAAGAAACTGAAGTGGCCCCGTCCTGGGGCATAAGAAACTGAAGTGGCCCCGTCCTGGGGCATAAGAAACTGAAGTGGCCCCGTCCTGGGGCATAAGAAACTGAAGTGGCCCCGTCCTGGGGCATAAACTGAAGTGGCCCCGTCCTGGGGCATAAGAAACTGAAGTGGCCCCGTCCTGGGGCATAAGAAACTGAAGTATCCAGCATCCAGTCTCCGTGGTGTAGTGGTAAGACACTCGCCTGGCGTTCCGCGAGCGCTATGTCATGGGTTCGTATCCTGGCCGGGGAGGATTTACTGGGCGCAATTCCTTAACTGTAGCCTCTGTTTAACGCAACAGTAAAATGTGTACTTGGATGAAAAAACGATTCTTCGCGGCAGGGGATCGTATTCCAGGGACCATAGGATTAAGGACTTGCCCGAAACGCTACGCGTACTAGTGGCTGTACAAGAATGTAACTACTCTTGTATATATCTCAAAAAAAAAAAAAAAAAAAGAAGTGGCCCAGCCAAGGCATCGAACTAAAGGGGCCCCAGCCTGGGGCATAATAAACTGAAATGGCCCAAGCCTGCTGGGCATAAACGGCAGTGGCCCCGTCCTGGGGCATAAACGGCAGTGGCCCCGTCCTGGGGCATAAACAACAGAAGTAGCCCTAACCTGGGGCATTAAAGCTGAAATGTCCCCAACCTGGGCATAAGCTGAAGTGGGCTTGGTTTGGGCAGAACTGAAGCGTGGGGGCATAAAATGAGAGTGGCCCCGCCCTGGGACAATAATAAACTGAAGTGGCCCCGACCTGGGATATAAGAAACTGAAGTGGCCCCGTCCTGGGCATAAGAAACTGAAGTGGACCCGTCCTGGGAATAAGCAGAAGTGGTCTCGCCTGGGGCATAAGAAACTGGAGTGCCCCCAGCCTGAGGCATAATAATCTGAAGAGGCCCCAACCTGGGCAAAAACTAGTGGCCCCGGCCAGGGGCACAAGAAGCAGAAGTGGCCCCAGCCTGGGCCATAGTAAACGAAGTGGCCCCAGCTTGGAGCATAAGAATCTGAGGTGACGCCGTCCTGGGGCCTAAGAAACTGAAGTGGCCCCACCTGAAGCATAATAATCCAGAGTGGCCCCGTCCTGGGGCATAGTAGACAGAAATGGCCCCGGCCAAGAAACGTACGTGGCCCCAGCCTGGGGCATAATAAAATAAAGTGGCCCTGCCCAAAGAAGCGCCAAGAGGGCCCCAAGGGGCGCCACATGAGCAGCACTTCCAGACAAAGCGTCGCCAGCCCGCCGGCGGGAGAAAGCCTCCACACAGGCGTACCTCAGGGGCACGTGCCATGCACACCCCGGAGGGCAAGGAGGGACCTTGCCGAGCAACCATGGCTGAGCGCCCCAGAGAGAAGCAGCCTTCCAGCCCGGCCAGGGAGGGAGGAAACTACGTAGGGGACATGACACATACCACAAGGGACACGGCGTTAGGCACACGCCAAACACTGGGGCACCCCTAAACCTAGAGGTGGCTCCACGCTCAAGCGTGGAGGGGTAAACACAGACGCAAACACTGTACCTTAGATGTTGAGGAGGGCAGGATGCCCCTGACGGGTCGCTCTGAGTCGTTGTCGATAAGAACTGGTGTAGGGTCCATGCTGGGGGGCCACAGTTGAGCAGGCTAAACTTCTGTGTTTACGTTTTGTAAGTGAGCAGCTGCTTGCTTGTCGAGACAGGGGGCCACCCCGTCTGCAGGCAGAGCTTATATAACCTCGGCTCGTTGCGTGCGCAGCTTGAGCGGTTAAACTCAGCTTCCAAACATATGTTTTCTTTTCCTCAGAAAACCCACTGCTTTTTTGGGAAAGCAGTGTTCTTATCCAGCATCCTACTTTTCCAGTTATTCCCATTGACCTCATTTTGTGAGCTATCACCCCATGGTCACATTTGTCGAACGCCTTTGCAAAGTCTGTGTATACATCTGCATTTTGCTTTTCTTCTAGGGCTTCTGTGATTTTGTCATAGTGGTTGAGTAACTGTGACAGACAGGATCTTCCCGCTCTAAATCCATGTTGTCCTGGGTTGTGCAATTCATTGTTTTCCATAAAACTAGAAATTTGATTCCAAATCACTCTTTCAAACACTTTTATTATGTGTGATGTTAGTGCAACTGGCCTATAATTTTTTGCCAAGGCTTTACTTCCCCCCTTGTGCAACGGTGCTATATCTGCAGTTTAAGTAAGCTGCTGGTATCTCCCCTGTATCCAGGCTCTTTCTCCATATTACGCCGAGTGCTCTCGCTACTGGTACTTTACATTTCTTTATGAATATTGAATTCCATGAGTCAGGCCGAGGAGCTGAGTGCATAGGCATATTGTCAATTTCTCTTTCAAAGTCTTCAGAGTTTGTGGTAATATCCATTATATTATCTGCAGCTTGAATGTCATTCATAAAGAAGCTGTCTGGGTCATCAACTTTCATGTTGTTTATTGGTGTGCTAAACATAGCCTCATACTGGCTTCTTAGAATTTCACTAATCTCTTTGTTGTCCTGTGTACGTACCTTCATTTGTAATTAACAGTCCAATATACTGGTCGAGGTCTTTGATTTTGCGTATGTGAAAAAATATTTCGGATTTTTCTTTATCTCTTGTATAGCTTTCTGTTCCAATTCCATTTTCTCAGACTCATATGATCGCTTCAACGTTTGTTCTATTTCTTCGATCTCCCAGCTTAGGCTTATTTTCCTTGCTTGTGATAGTTGTGTTTGCCGAAGCATTTCCGTTATTTTTTTCCTTCTCCTGTACAGTCGTCTGCGTTCTCTTTCTAGAGTGGTCTTCTTTCTGCCCCTCCTCATAGGCACGTGCTTCAAGCAGAGCTTGTAAGCTTCAGCTGTCAGTTGAGCTATTCCCTGTGTGGGAGTTTTGTTGCTCAAGACCGTCTCCCATTGAATGGTTGCAAGGTCTACATTTATTTTTTCCCAGTCGTTGTACTTGTATCTTTTGAAGCCAGCAGTGGCTTTTTTTTTTACTCTCTAGTTGCCTTCCCTGCTGAGGTAGCAAAAGTAAATGCCACCGCTCTCTGTGCGTCTTATGTGGGCCAGGTTCTAACGTCGGTCCCTGGCAGGCTTATAGAACTCCACATCTGATGTGACTTAGTAGATGGTGCCATATCAGCACAGCAGCTTCAGGGAGCCACCAAGGCTCACCCAGAAATTGGCATTTCATTACAGTGAATGCTGCTTTTTTATGACTGTACATACCAAACTAAAACAATGTGATTATGTAAAGTGAGATGTAGCAATAGAATTAAAGGAATATCGGGAATTTTTTTTTAGTCATATCACAGAAATTTTGTCACATTTTAATTGAAGGTAAGGAGTAAGAAAAATAAAAAAATCACATGTTTTGTGAAAATATTTTATTTACATAACAAACATCATTATCATTAAATGGATGGAATACATTAATTACACAAAGTTCTTTCAGAATGAATGGAATGGAATTGCCTAAATTAAAAAAGTTGGAATAAACCATGTCCATTTTACTCTTAGTTTTATATATAATCCGCAACTACAGTATATACAAAGGTAGAAAGCACCCCATTGCACATTTGAAAGCATATACCAGTTGCAAAGATATAATATGAGCATTTTTATTGCTATGCCTGTATTTTAACTGGAAGCTGCCACATTAAAATTTACCTTCTTTCTAGAAGGAAGAGGAATGGAGTAAGAGTGGTAGAGGGAAGGAGTAAGATGGGTTATCTTGAGATAATTTGGGGGCTTCTTAGTGTCCTCGACCAGGCCTCCAACACCAGGAAGCAGCCCGTAACAGCTGACTAACACCCAGGTACCTATTTTACTGCTAGGTAACAGGGGCATAGGGTGAAAGAAACTCTGCCCATTGTTTCTCGCCGGCACCTGGGATCGAACCCAGGACCACAGGATCACAAGTCCAGCATGCTGTCCACTCGGCTCCTGGGTAGTGGGGGAAGAGTAACAGAGGGTAGAGGGAAAGAGGAGTAAATGAGGTAGAGGAGAGGAGGAAGTGTGGGGGTCGAGGGGAAGATGAAGAGGGGGGGCCGAAGGGAGAAGAAGGAAGAGGGATAGAGGAGAGGAGGAGGAAGATTTGCAGGGAAGAGTAAGAGGGGAAGAGGAGTAAGAGGTGAAGAGGAGTAGTACGGGTAGAGAGCAGGAGGAGGAGGAGCAAGCAATTAAGTAAAAAGTGCCAAGCCTGAAATGCTATACAGCACCATTTGTGTTACAGAATACAGTATTGAAAAGTTCCTAGATATCATTCAGAATACCAATATGTGAGTAGAAAGACATAATACAAGTGATATCAACAGAATCAGATTCACCAAGAAGTTTATTGAAAGATAAAACTTAACGGAACAGCGAAAAAGAAAAATTTCTGAGCGTGTCTGAAAATCTGGACATTCTACAAGATGGTGTGCGACTGCTAGCAGAACTACCGGTATGCATTTCTAACAGGTGTGAAACTCTGTTTCATTAAGTGCCCATGAGTTAATCATGTGTGGCCAATATGTAACCTAACCATGCAGATGTTTTCTACTTCCTGTTTGTGGCAGGAAGAAGGCCATGGGAATAGGTCATATTTCATAGTACTGTACATAATTTGTTATTCATAATAATTAACCATTGATCTCACCAACAGTTGCAGATTGTTTTATGAATTATAAGGTAGAAATTCAGGTATGGTATTGACTTCCGTGAGATGGGATATGTCTTTAGTCCTGTAGAGGATTCTATTGCGAACACAATGATACCAAAATGAAAGACCTAGGACGAAAATTGAGGTGACTCAAAGAGAGAAGTGTACACATTTTAACGCTTTTCTGCCACGCTCTCACTTTCTCTGTTTAGTCCTGTAGAGATTCTATTGCAAAAACATTGATGCCAAATTGAAAGACCTAGGACGAGAATTGAGGTGACCAAAGTGAAAAGGGTATACATTTTATCGGTCTTGCGCGCTCCCGGGTAACACGCTCTCACTCTCTCTCGCTCTCACTCAGGGAGCCGGTCGGCCGAGCGGACAGCACGCTGGACTTGTGATCCTGTGGTCCCGGGGTCGATCCCGGGCGCCGGCGAGAAACAATGGGCAGAGTTTCTTTCACCCTATGCCCCTGTTACCTAGCAGTAAAATAGGTACCTGGGTGTTAGTCAGCTGTCACGGGATGCTTCCTGGGGGTGGAGGCCTGGTCGAGGACCGGGCCGCGGGGACACTAAAGCCCCGAAATCATCTCACGATAACCTCTCTCTGTTTGTTATGGATGGTACGCCAGGCATTTGGACGTTATATGCCTTACGTCCTGTAGAGAAGTCTATTGCGAACACAATGATGCTAAATTGAAAAACCTAGTACGAGAATTGAGGTGACAAAGTTGAAAAGATTATATACTTTTCAGAATTACCGCGCGCTCCCGAGGAATACCCAAACCCACCCAGAGTAGTGCGGTGCACGCGCGCCCAGAGCATCAAAGTGTTGAATAAAATTTTCCATATATTTATTGTACAGTATATATAGAGCTAAGCCATCTCTCGTATCAGGAATGGTTGAGGGCCACAGGGCTAACAATGCTGCAAACCAGGCATGACAGGGAGGGATCTCATTGAAACTTTTAAAATACTGAACAATTTGGAGGATGTTGATATGGACAATTTCTTCAAAAGTCAGACGTAACACAAACAAGGAGCAACGGTGGTTTCACGCTCGACAAGCCTCAATGTAGGACAGAGAACAGGAGATGCTTTTTTACCCACAGGGTTAGGTGTGGATGGAATCCAGTCCAAAGTCTTAAAGAAACTGGCAGAAGAACTAGGTCTACAGCTGAAACTACTTTTCACAAAATCTCTGGCCAAGGAATAGTCCCTGTAGACTGGAAATATGCAAATGTCATCCTTATTTTCAAAAAGGTAGAAAGAGCTCAACAGAAAACTACCGGCCGATCAGCTTGACATCACTCATCTGCAAGCTCAAGGAGAAAATCCTCAGGGAGGGAATCATTCACCATCTTTCAGTGAACAATCTTGTAATATCGACACAACACTGGTTTGTTAAAACAGATCCTGCCTTGAGAAAATCCACAGGAGCCGTGATGAGGATTCGAAGTTATGCACTGGCTATTCCCAGATGCACGCTCTAAACGACTACATCAAAACATAGTCAAAAGAATTGCAACCTTGGGTACTACTGCACCCTCGAGGATTCCCGAGGATTCCACTGTAGCCGAACCAGGGTTTCACACAATTCCTCCAATCATTCTGGCTCTGTCATCCAGTAATTCTACCTCTGACACCCCACTTTCATTACACAGAGAAATCACATTATTGTGATATATCAATGATAATGTGATTTCTCTATGCATAGAGAAATCCTGCAGATTTGATCCTGCCGTACAAACCTGCTCCCATTTTTGGAAAGCGTAACCAGCTACTCGGACAAAGGCCTTCTGGTAATGTAGTATACTGTACGTGGATTTTGCTAAAGCCCTTGATAAGGTACCACATGAAAGACTGGCAAGGAAATTATAGGCCCATGGAATAAATGGTAAAATATTAGAATGGATAAAACAATGGTTGAATGAAAGAAAACAAAGGGTCGTGCTAAATGGGAATGAAATTGAATGGAAAAATGTGATAGTGGGGGGTGCCACAGGGGCCTACCCTTTTTGTCATATACATCAATGACATAGATGAGATATTACAAACCACATCATCAAATTTGCAGATGACAAAGATTT